TGTGCAATACTCAGAGACATGGCCAAGGTAAGAAAGGCTGAAAGACGACCACCACTGAACAAGACACACAAGCTGAAACGTCAAGACTGGGCCAAGAAATATCTCAAGACTGATTTTTCTAAGGTTTTATGGACTGATGAAATGAGAGTGAGTCTTGATGGGCCAGATGGATGGGCCCGTGGCTGGATTGGTAAAGGGCAGAGAGCTCCAGTCCAACTCAGACGCCAGCAAGGTGGAGGTGGAGTACTGGTTTGGGCTGGTATCATCAAAGATGAGCTTGTGGGGCCTTTTCGGGTTGAGGATGGAGTCAAGCTCAACTCCCAGTCCTACTGCCAGTTCCTGGAAGACACCTTCTTCAAGCAGTGGTACAGGAAGAAGTCTGCATCCTTCAAGAAAAAACATGATTTTCATGCAGGACAATGCTCCATCACACGCGTCCAAGTACTCCACAGCGTGGCTGGCAAGAAAGGGTATAAAAGAAGAAAATCTAATGACATGGCCTCCTTGTTCACCTGATCTGAACCCCATTGAGAACCTGTAGTCCATCATCAAATGTGAGATTTACAAGGAGGGAAAACAGTACACCTCTCTGAACAGTGTCTGGGAGGCTGTGGTTGCTGCTGCACGCAATGTTGATGGTGAACAGATCAAAACACTGACAGAATCCATGGATGGCAGGCTTTTGAGTGTCCTTGCAAAGAAAGGTGGCTATATTGGTCACTGATTTGTTTTTGTTTTGTTTTTGAATGTCAGAAATGTATATTTGTGAATGTTGAGATGTTATATTGGTTTCACTGGTAATAATAAATAATTGAAATGGGTATATATTTGTTTTTTGTTAAGTTGCCTAATAATTATGCACAGTAATAGTCACCTGCACACACAGATATCCCCCTAACATAGCTAAAACTAAAAACAAACTAAAAACTACTTCCAAAAATATTCAGCTTTGATATTAATGAGTTTTTTGGGTTCATTGAGAACATGGTTGTTGTTCAATAATAAAATTAATCCTCAAAAATACAACTTGCCTAATAATTCTGCACTCCCTGTACAAGTAAGATTTTACTATATTTAGGCAGGCAAGAGTGGGCCAGGGGGGCTAGATGGTTGTTTTTACATAATAGGGTCGGAAATACATGATTGTGTTCCTGACCCTATAGTGTTCCTTTAAGCAAGAGTATGTGAAGAGTAGTTAGGGTTGCCACCTTTCTTGGAAAAAAAAATACCAGCCTTAATCATTTGTATAATTAATTAGTTATGCATGACATCACATGATGTAAATCACAAGGAGTGACATAAGAGAAAATTCTGTAAAATCACCAACAAACTACTCACAGTTTGATTCTGCTGTATAAATGAATTGCTCCCAGTGTCTCACTGTCTCCCAGTGTCTCAGTCTCGCAAGTCACCCAGTGTCTCAGTGTCCCTATGTATCACAGTGTCAGTGTCCCCATGTCACCCAGTCCCGTAGTCTCCCAGTGTCCCCATTTCTCCCAGTGTCCCCATGTCTCAGACCCGGGGACACTGGGAGACATGGGGGCACTGAGACACTGGGAGACATGGGGGCACTTGTGAATACAGACATGGGGACACTGGGAGATATGTGGACACTTGGAGACATGGGGACACAGACATTTGGGGACACTGGGAGAAATGGGGACACTGAGACACTAGGGACACAGAGACATGGGGACACAGACACTGGGAGACATGGGGACACTGAAGCATTTGGTGACACTAAGACACTAGGGAACACAGACAGTGTCCCCTAGTCTCCCAGTGTCTGTGTTCCCATGTGTCTCAGCGTCCCCATGTCTCACAGTGTCCCCTAGTGTTTCAGTGTCCCCATGTTTTCCAGTGTCCACAAGTATCTCAGTGTCCCCAGGTCTCCCAGTGTCCCCTAGTGTCTGTGTTCCCATGTCTCCCTGCTGCCTTTCCCCCCATCCCTTACTTACCAGAGCTGCTGTCTGGACTCTCTGTGCTGTGTAGCTGCTCCCCCACGGATCAGTGAGTAGTAGAGAGAGGCAGGGATATGCTATAACTTCCTATACCTGCCTCTCTCCACACACAGTGACCCCTACTGACCGGTGCTGGTATTGCAGAGTAATCTCCGTTTATACTGAGAAAAATACCTGCATTTGTATTGCTGGTATTACTGCAATACCTGCACAGCCAGGCAGCCTTAAATACCAGCTGTGCCAGTAAAATACCAGTCAGGTGGCAAACCTAAGAGTAGTGTGTAAAATAAATAAATAATGGGCCTGGGCCTGGAGCTGCAGCTCCATCAGCCCCTATGTTAATCCAGCCCTGTGTGTGTCAGATACACATGCACATATACATACACCGATAGAAGGTTTGTCTGTCAGTGTATGTGTGTGTGCCAGTATGTCTATCAGTGTGTGTGTCTGTATGTCTGTCAGTGTATGTATCAGTATGTCTAACAGTGTATGTGTTTGTGTTCGTATGTCTGACAGTATATGTGTCTGTGTGTCTGCATCTTTATGTGTGTGTGTGTGTATCTGTATGTTATCAGCGTGTCAGGTTGTGTGTATCTGTTTGTCTTTATCTGCGTCAGTTTATGTGTCTGTATCTGCAAGTGTGTCAGTGTGTCAATCTGTGTATCTGCATGTGTTTTGTGTCAGTGTGTATCTGTGTGTATGTGTATCACAGTGTGTGTGTGTCAGTGTATGTGCATATGTGCATACATCTCAGCATTGATACACCAACAGTACATACATACAAACATAAACATTTTGGTGTTAAACACCAATAATATGTAAACACACCCCTACATTCAAATGCCAACACTACACCTAAATGCATGCCTGCATTAAAACACCAACACCACATACAAACACACCCCTACATTTACACAAACATACTCCATACAAAAACATGCTTACATGTAAACACACAAACACAGTGCTAAATACAACTCTGCAAGCATGGGAAACTGGTAGAGCCCAGGCTTCCAAAGCATTGTTGGAGTTGCACGACATATAGGGATACCTGGATTTGCTGATAAACGCTGCCTAAATTTCTCATTATATTTCCACCAAACTGACCCACGATAGGTACGATATGCTTCCCAAATTCCATCCATGTAACAGAATAACTGTGTACACTTCACAGGGTTTTTTCCCCCATGTTGCCGGCAAGTTTGCTAAAAGCTTTAAGCCAATTACCGAAAGTCTTCGGTATCTTCTGATACCTTGGTCCTCCTCCTTTTTGGAATCCTTTCTATCCTCGTCTTTTATATCTATATACTCGTCTAGTGGGAGAAGTGAAAATATTTCAACATATTCCTCTCACCAAATCTTTTCTCTTACATCGGGCTTAATAGGACAGCCCATTGGGTCTGCAAATGAAACATGCACTTTCTGCCTATCCGTATCTGGAATACAACCTGTCAATTCCTTCCGCTCGGTTTCACCCAGTCTGTGCCGTAGGATCTTATCTTTAAGATCTGCAGGGAGAGGAAATCTGGGGAAGGCCGTACACCAGATTCCTGACCCCCATTTCCCCTCCTGTACCCTTTCCCCTTTCCCCTTCTGTACCCTCCGACTCATGTCTGTTGTCCTGGCCCCTATGGCGGTTATGCATTAATGATGTGCCAGTGACCTCCCCCTCCCTAGCATTACTGTTACTTGACCTGGAAGTGCTCCTACTAGTAGACCTGGATGACCTGCATCCCCTTCCCAAACCCCGTCTAATTGAACGCCTGTTATGCGAACATCTCCTTCGCTCCCCGTCGCTTAAGGGTCCATCACCGCTATGACTGCTCCTAGACCTACTTCTGCGCTTGCTCCTGCCAACTCTACCACTGAGGGACCTGCTGGGGGATTCACTCACTCTCTCTGTAGAAGAACATACGCTGCGCGTCCCTGACTGTCTCTGCGGCTGCGTGCGGCAACCTGCTGTTCCATACTGCTCTACTTTTTTCCACTGTACTGCCTAGGCTCAGAATGCACCCCTCTAGCACTCCTGTTCCCTCTAACTCCTTTAACAGCCTTGGCTAAGCTCCCCCTTGAATCCCCCCTTAGACTATTTCTAATGTGGTCCACTGGCTCCCACTGGTGATAACCCATGTCCCTATCACTGCTTTGTTGTTCCACAGGCTACATTATGGTTTGGGAACTAGAAATTCTGCAGAAGAAAATTGGATACACTGCGCCGAAAAATTATCTTAAACTGCAACCAGTGTATTTGTGCATACATGAACCAGTAGAAGTATTCCAAGTTAATTAACCGCAAAAAGAAAAAAACAGAAATAATAGCGCAGTATATTTTAACAATAAGCAAATTTAGTGAAATTCATATAGAGTACACATTAAATACATACAAACATTTTTAAGAGCTATCTTAGAGCTCTGCTGAATTGCACATGGACCGTACAATTCCTGTCTTAGGATATACGTAGATCCAGATGACAAATGCACTCTACGCCAAGTAATGCCAACACAATATGTGGTGACAAAAACAAGGAAAACTCCAATGGTGTAGTAAGTTAGTGCAAATCGAATATTAAGAAAATGTGCTCTAGCGGTAGAAGGCCTGGGTGGCATAATGCCCAACTGGGATATGGAGGAACCAGGAAGTTGACCCATATGGATAAATAATATGTAAAGTGTATAGATATCAGAAAATTTACTTTATTTAGTCGTGGAAATTATTACAAACACTTTAAAAATAAACAATAAAAGTCAAAATTCTTCGGAAGTATGATGATATCCTGTAGTGTTCAAGTTTATATTGGGAAGTAATTGTCCATTATCAATTCCTGGTGTGGTGGTTTGATGGCCTAATGATTTCTTGTGTTCCATTCTGGAACGCATGTGTCACCCACAATTGATACGGTGTAAATAGATCTTGTCCATCTTTGTTGTACTCGATTAGTGTGACTGCATGTATTCGACCTTGAAACATACGCGTCATATGGAAGTGACGTGGAGCGAGTGCTTCACTTTTATCATTTGTCTACTCTAACAAATGGCGATCGCGAAGTTGATGCAGGAATTGAGCTTACCTGAGGCACAGTCGTCACCGTCCACAAGCCAAGTCTGGGATGTCTCCTGAATTACTCCGTTCACCCCTAGTGGAGATCGAGATTCTGTAACATGAACACCTACAAGATAGACTTACCTTTATTCTTTCCAGTTTAAAATTGTTGACTTTAGCCTAGGCTGTCATTCTATATTTTATGTTATGGTTCTCCACCTGCTCCTGACGCTCTAATTGAAACACTGCTGTCAGACAAGACGGATGCACCCACGGTCACTCACAAGGCATACTCACCTTTTGTAGAAACATTTGCCCAGTTATACTCCCCCCCCCCCCACATCCTTCGGTCCAGCCTTATACCACCCTTATACCATGAGGCACGACTGAACATAATTCCTACCGATTTAAGCCAACCCCTCTAGGTCACAGGAATTACCACTCCACTGAAAGCATTTCCCTACTCCCATACTCAGTCATTATACCCACCCATAACGCTCACAAGCTTTCTTACTCACCTGACGACTTTGTTGTTTCACTTGTTTTACCATTGTTTTAAAACATTTGCAATCTTTCATGTATGCCTCATTTTACAATTTTTCCATTCATATGTGATTTGCTGTTGCTGTTGGGGCACAGTAAACCCGTCTGTTATAACCATGCACAACAAAAATAAAGAATATTTAAAAAAATATATATATATATTAAAAAAGAAAAAAAGGCGATTGGCAGTATGTGAAGTCCTTAAAATGGCGTGGATATGTCCAATAACAGCTGGGCTGTAGGAGGAGCGCAGACTCCTAGCTTCAGAGGCCCATTTGAAGGTGACCACAGGAAAGTATACATTTGAGGAGGTTTCGGATAGTAATATCACTTTTTTAATGATACATTTTTCAGAGAGCAGATATATAATATCCATTGTGAGCATATACATCAAAGCATTGCAATTTTAATCACATTCATTTTGCATTATATATTCACAATGATCTTCCAACAGATATGATTAAAATCCGCATTAGCTTATTTTGCACTAGCACTATTTGATTTGTCTCCCACATTAGAATTAGTGTAGTACCCACTGATATTGGGGTACTGTGGTGTAGCGGTGGGCCTAACACAATATGGCGATATGGTAAGACTGAATCCCCATATTTATTTTCTGAAATAGGTGATTTTAAGTGACCCTGTAAAAATGTAATGTGTATTTTTGTGTGTTCCTTATTCTGTATTATGTATACATTTTAGTCACTACGGAGGCACCATTCTTGCAAAATGCATGTTCCTGGTGTGCCCCCACTTCCTTTTTTTTTTTTCAAAAACCATTTTTATTGTGAATGCATGGTACATGAATATAACACGAGTGACATTATCATTTATGCTTTTGAGCTGTTATTCAGTAAGTTACATTCACTATTTTGCGGATTTCTCAACATAAACAAAACAGAAAAAACAAGCAAAACAAAACAAATAAGAGTTACCAAACCAAATAGGTTGTTGTTAATAAGCAAGAGGTTGAGCTTAGACAGTTACCTTTTGATGTGGGTGTCCGTCAGGCTAAGCCATTGCCAGTTTTTCCGAGATACCACTTGCGTGGCTCAGGGGTTATGAGTTGTTGCTGCTCAGGGCAATGAAACATACAATAGTTCCCACTTCCCTTTTTGTCTTTATGATATACAAGGTTTGGGAATCCTTGGTTTAATCACTGCACTTTTATTTATAGTGAGCGCCTATAAAAACATAAATAGCTGCTATATTGCTTGCTTTTTTGCAAGAATCACGTTAGTACATTGCCCTTTAAAATGTCCTTAAATTCCATCAGTGTTGCCATTAACCTTTCTGTGTTTTCCACAAATCAGTGGAAATCAAAATATATTAAGCAGACATAGTAAATGGAAACAGTTCTATGCAGCACAGAGTGGAGCAATGTTACAGTTTAATGCAATAGTTTAAAATCTGCCACTCTCTGATTCATGATAAACCAGAACATGATTCTTCACTGCTTTAAGGCTGGAAGCTTGAGAGATATAGAAGAATGGGCTGCACTGGGCTGCAAGAGGACTGGAAGAGTTAAGTTCATCATAAAATGGGGTTTCACCTTGCTGGCACTTAGTATATAGATATATGCATACATAATGTAAACACCTTTTTGTTAATATACATGATTCTATCACAAACTGGAGATATAGATGTAAAAATAACATAGCTGCACTCCTGGAGAGGAGTAAGGTTGATTGATTTACACCATAAATTCATCACACATGGCTACTTCGTATAAATATCTAAACCATGCGCCTATTAAAAAAAAATGCAGCTGTAAACCTTTATACACAAGATATATTTTATATATTTATATAATTTATATCTTAGTTATGAAAAATATATCTGGCAGTTAGATAGTGTTATTCCTTGTACAGAAAGAGGAATGTTAATTTGTTCCATGTATTTTTGGTCCCATTTGATTAAGATTAGGATTAATATCTGTTTGTTCCAGGAAAATGATGCAGATCATCATTGTCTGTCCCATGGTCTGCCCATAACTCGACCAGCTCATAGTCCATTGTCCATCTAACCAACCATGGATCACTTGGCTAGTCAGAACATCAGATGCTCTCTGTCCGAAGATGCTTCCATTGGAAACTGCTGTCCACATCAAAGTCCTCCTTCTCCTGCTCCTTGGCTAGCTCAAGAAATACCTAGCATACAGAGAAGGAAAACACAGATTTGTGGATCTTTGTGAAATGGGTGTAAGAGTGCCTATCAGGATTTGGGCAAACTTATTACAGCAACAATTAGAAAAAAACACTCATCAAACAACCACAGTCCCAAAATAACCATGTGTTGATGGCTTGGATCTTGTTCTCGCTTTGAACTTGGACTTCAAGATCCTTGCTGACTCTCAGGTACTTGAATGTTGCTATCTCGTTGCCTCTTACTCATGGTTGTCATGTGTTTGTGGTACCCCCAGGTACTTGTAGATGTTCTCTACATCATCTATTTGACCTTCTGGTACCTGAACTCCTTCTGTCCTGATCACTATATGTACAATATATTGTTTACATTCTTATTCCTCATACACTGATTAGCAACATAATTAAAACCAACTGCCTAATATTGTGTATGCCCCCCAATGCTGCCAAAACAGCTGTGATGCATCAAGGCATGACTCAACAAGACCTCTGAACATGGCCTGTGGTATCTGGCATTAATACATTAGCAGAAGATCCTTTAAGTCCTGCGAGGTGGGGCCCCTAGCATGTGTTGTTCAAGCACATCCCACAGATGCTCAATTGTATTGTGATCTGGGGAATATGGAGGCCAAGACAACACCTTGAATTCTTGTCAAGTTCCTGAAACGTTTCCTAAGCAATTTTTGCAGGATGCATTATCTTGCTGAGAGAGGCCATTGCCCTCAACCCTCTCTGTTCCTGTGCATCCATTTCTCTGGTTACAGTTACATGTCTGTTAGTCCACCCATTGTACAGCGCTACGGAATTTGCTGGCGCTATATGAATAATAAAATAATAATAATAATCAAGGGATGTACGAGGTGTGTAACAAAAACTCTAGGTAGGAAGTACATAACAGGCACATGAATCCCAGGGCCCAAGGATTCCCAGCACAACGTTGCCCAGAGCTTAAAACTTCCTTTGCTGGCCTGCCTTCTTCCCATAGTGTATTCTGCTGCTGAAGGCGTTATCATTGGTGGATATGGGTCATCATGATCACTCTGACCGGTCTGCGGCTACGCAGACCCATAAGCAGCAAACTGCAATGCACTGTGAGTTCTGAAACTTTTTTTTATTATGGCCAGCTTTAGTTTTCCAGCTATTTGAGCTACTATAGTTTTTCTGTGTGATTGGACCAGACTGGCTAGCGTTCTCTTCTCATGTCAATCAAAGAGCCTTTGTTCACTTGCTGCCTAACATTTTCCACCCCTTGACTGGTGCCATTGCAACAATACAATCAATCTTATGCACTGTGGATTTAAAGTTGTGGCTGATCAGTGTATATTCTTATTGCACAAATAAATTTATAATTATATTACATATCTGCTATTTTTTTCATTTTTGTATTGTTTGGAAAGTTTGTAATATATGTTGTATTTTTATAATGCATTTTGTTTTACTGATATTAGTTTTCATTGTGTTTAATTAAGTGAACGTGTTCCTGTAATATGGTTACGATGTAGTTGTTTCTCTAAATAAAAGTTCATATTGGAATTTAATAAAATGCACGATAAAAAAAAAAAGTCTAATTTGAAAAAAAAACACCAAAAGTATACAAATTAATTTGCCAGAATTACACTAATACACAATAGTTAAACTAAGTCACCATAAAGGTAAACACATTAGATATAAGGTTTTCTAGTTATAAATATATAAACCACATTTTCTTTACATAGATATTATATTTTTTATCATGTTTTAGAAAACTGTAACTTATGAAACAGACTCAAAATATCTGTTAGCTTTCCTGATCCCTGTGTTCTATTGACCACAGAGGCATCTGTACCAAATCATGTTCAGAATGTCTAATTTGTGTTATCTAGACTCTGTACGCAGTAGTATAGATGTGTTACCTGTTCCAAGGTGGATTGCGAGAAGCTGTACTCCTCAATGCTGTAGGTTCGTTTTGCTGTGGGAAGAGGAAAGGACACAGGTATCAGGTCATGCCCTGCCAAGTACCAAGTACAGAATTATATGTTTAATATCTCTGCCATCTACACAGCTATCTAGTTGATGTGGTACTACAAACCCTAAAGCAAAGTGGTAATTCTGTATATTTGTATTCATATAAAAACTGGAATGTTTTAAGAGTAAATTGAGTCTACCGTCTCAAAATGGTTTGTCACAGCAATCTGAGTCAGTTTTATTTGAAGGGTTCTTCTCCAACTGTATCTGTTTTAATAACAAACCTGGAAATATCTGGGAAAAGAGACATCCCTGTGCAAGTTTCTTTTCTACAGTAGACAAGGCTATCTCCCCCAAATTGTATGTATACTCCTTGTATGGTACATAAGACCCAATTGACACCACCGTCTAAACATCACTCTCACAGAAACCTCCAATGTCTTGACCTAGAGCAGTGGTAGTCAACCTTTTCCTACCTACCGCCCACTAATGCATCTTTTTGGTTGAAAAAAAGCGCCCAGCGCTGACCGGGCCCCCTCACAATCCACATCCATCGGGTGGCCCTGACAGCATGGGCC